TAACCCTGGCTAGGTGCACTCTGTTGCTGTCACATGTGTCTTGAATGAAGCCTGACACTCATGAACAAAGTTTAGCACAATCCTCTTTCTGGGTCATTCAGTTGTAATAGTAAGGGAGTTCTGTGAAGTTTCCTTGTTTAATGTGTCTATATAGGAATAGTCTCATGTTTACATGCAGGTACTGTTCCATCCCATGGTTGATTTGAATCTGTGTGTATGTAAATGTACGAACGTAAATCCATCAAAGAGAGCAATTAAATTGTTCTAAGAGTCCATTAGAGAAAGGACTGCTCTATGGCAAACAATATAAAACTTGATGTTGCAGTCCCAGTTATCTCTGTCAACCAGTCTGTGCTATCATCTGTAAAAATCTCTAGTTTAAAAAATCTTGCCACTTCCCTTGTCAAAGGAGAGGCCTAGGATATAGTTTAAACTGTTGCTGATAATGTATAAATAAGTCCTTAAGCTCCAAGTATGCCACAGCAACATTCCCTGTGCCTCACTGGTAAAGAAGCAGTGAGATTCATGTCTGTTGTATCCTCTTAATTTCAGAGGGTATCTATATTGTACAATGTGTGACATTCATTACAGTCTGAATTCCAGGGCATTATCACCAGTTTGAATTGCTCTTCTTGCTTTCTTCAGGCAAAGAATAATCCAGCACTACAGGGTAAAGGTAGCTGGACAAAAACTCTCCAGTATAACCACATTGTGTCCAGAAACTGCCTTTTGAGCTACAGATTTATTGCCAAAGCTGCATTAACTCCTGCGTGACTGATAAGTGGACAGGACCCCAGGCAAATTGATTTCTACTGCTTTTCTAACCCATGGCTCCTCTGTTTGTCTAGCTTGGAAAGTTTTTGGGGCAAGGGGTCTCTTTTGCTATGTTAATGTCTACCACATATCCTACCTTTATTTCCAACCTCTGATAGTGTCTCTAAGTGCTATTACCACAGGAATAATGGCACACACTGTAGTGTACATTAAGACAATCAATTAAATAAAAAAGATCTTGTATTTAATAAATGCACAACTGAATTCTTAAGCACCTGGTCCTCTGCACACTGACCAAAGCAGGAGAAAATAAAACCATTCTGAAGTAAATACATTATGAGCTGTGATTGTGTAACTAAGCATATCAGCAAGAGGGGGGTGGTACCTATATAATCATAATTCTGACATTTGCCACTTTGGAGTGCTTAACATTTTCATATTACTTGCAATTTTTTGTGTGTTCCAACCCCTTTCAATTAATTTGAAAGTGAAGATATAGATTAACTAATTTTGTTATGATAGAAACAAAGAAAAACAGTAAGGAAAACATATGTAGGATCTAAACCAATGAAATAAAAATGTATACACGTGGAGTGGTTAGATATTTCGCCTGCTGGGCTGGGGTATTGGGTTGTTTGATGGGTCCCCTTCTTTGTTTCTTATTTCTCTCTTCCTTTTACTCCTGCTGGGTGCTGGAGGAGGGCATGCCCAGAAGCCAAGAAACAGGATTACAAAGTGGACCCATTGTGACAGGAATTGGGAAAAAAAGTACAATAATCCATATCCCTAAGAGCATGTCAGGATGGATTTCTATTTATGTCTGTCTGTACAGTAGCTTTAAGCATGCAGCTTTCTGTCCCAGAAAAAAGAATGACATTGCACGTTCATGGACGATAGTACTTTCCTTTTCAATCCTCCAGTACACAGTAAATAATGGACCCATATTTATATGAAGCTATTTAGCAAATACAGGATAATGGTGGAAATAAGGTTAAATTATTTACCATAAAAATTAGAGAAATGAATATTTTCTAGATTTCTTGGAAGCAATTTAATTTTGCTGTTTAAATCACAGCAAATCTGAAAAAAAATCTTTATTTTTTTAAAGTGCCTTCTTTTTCACTGTATTCTCTGCCACTTTTTGATTTTAGAATAGAATTTAATGTAACTTGAAATAACAAAGCATTACTCAAATTACCTCACTTTTAGCTTCCTGTGCAAAGAGGTGAATAGGGTGTGAATAGGGTGTGAATAGGGTGTTACAGATGTTATATATAAGGTGTTAACAGTCACCTCCTCTTACTCTGAATGTAACAGAGAGTGAAGATCATAGTCAGAAAGGAGACAGGAACAGACAGCAACTGAGCATTTTTAATCAGGGTATGTGCCAAATAATTACTTTCCATATTTAAATGGGACCTATATATCCACTGCTAAACTTTTTATATGACAATTATTTCCTAGCATTTAGGGAAGCATTTCCACAGATTCACAATATTCTTCTCCAGTGAGGCCTTATCTAGAGGTTAAAATCACAAAACAGCACTTTCCTGTCTGTTGTAAAATCATAAGAAAAAAGAAACTTTTCTCTGTTTTTCTAACATTCATCGTGCATTTTATCACAGTCTAAAGATTTTCATATCAGAAGGGCTGGAAACTATAGCTGAGGTTTTTATAAGGCAAAGATTTTAAGAAATATATGCAGGATTGTGATTAGACATGACAGCACTACATAGCTCAGTTTATTCCTCAAGTTCAGATATATAATTTGTCCTCATGTGCTTTATCACTACCACATAGAAAAAAAACCCAGCTTCACAATGTAAATGTAAAATAAATTATTTTCCCAACGTGCACAACTTAAAATGCTAGGACAATGGAAAAAAGTATTTTTCCACACTGGATCTATTCAGTGATCTATTTCTCTTGGTTTGAATTCAATATGACATGTAACATTCACTGCTACGTTGGTAATTCTTTATAGATGGTGTTAGAAGGTAATAATCCTTTCTTGTGTGATGTGAATTTTTTAAGCTTTGGAGAATGACTATTTACTTAATTATTTTGAGACACACATAGCTTAAATTATTATCAAACATGTTGTTTAATGCAAGTCTGTTCATTGAATTCTGGGTACCCAGGTCCACAATGTAACTCCACTATCAGTTCTAACTTCTAATATAACCCGAGCCAAATTCTTCTTTTGATTTTATTTTTGAGCAGAACTAAATAGCTCAGGCCCAGGTTTAGCTTTTATAACTCATAAAACTTTATGATCCTTTAAAATCTGTCCACAAGTATTTCATTTTCTGACTTCCTGTGAGCATGAACTTCCCACATATTCTGAAAAGAAGTTTTTTTTTTATCTGTCCCAGTCTAGTCTGCATGCACAGCCTGTGTCGCACAGACCACGTGCTAAAAATATCCCATGAAAGCAAGATTAAATATTTTGCTTTATATATTTTGCTCCAATACTGCCCAGTCCTCATCTACAGCTCGTTTCACCATTCTCTCATCAGACTCATGTAGACATTTGGCCACTGATAAACCACAGTAGCAGGAGGCTTATCTGAAGGTGGCAGCAAGAGCACCTTTTTAACTGGCAGAGATGCCACCAGGATAAAGGTAAAATTTGGAAATAAACTACTTTTGGTTTTAGTGGAGCCTTCTAATATAGCCATATTTTAAATTATATGTATGAATTAGAATTAATGTAAAGGTGATATCTGGCTCCCAAATACTGAAACATAGGGTTTATTAGCTCAAGCATAGGACTATACTAATGAAATATTTAATGTCTCCAGGACTTTGGTAAATATTTCTAGACAAACCTTCAATGCCTTTTATAGATGTACAAGTCTGGGTCAGTACTACTTCATGGCTGCCTGTGACAGGCATGATTGGATTGAATAGGTATGGTCTAAGACTGTCTTTTCTGTTCTGTTCTTGTACTGTTTGGTACAAAGAAAGCCTTGTTCCTGAGTAGGCTTTCTAAGCCCTGTAGAAATAAAAATAATGAATATCACCCTCAGATTTCTTTATAATTCCCATGCCAAAAGAAGTAATACTAGATTTCTGTCCCTAGGTTTTCAGCTCTTATGCCGTACAAACCTGTATAGACTAAAATTAAAGCTGTTGGAAGTTTTCTTTCACATTTTTTAATATTGAAATATTTCCATTTTATGAAAATGGAAATAGCACTCTGAGTTCTTTAACGATCACGTTTGTAATAAGAAAAACTTAAATTAAAAATGTCATGGATTTTTGATTTTTTGTTAATATTCCCTTTCCTTTATGGCAGGTATGTCAGGCTCCAGACAAACCATACACTTCAGCGAGGGGACTGACTCGGGGCAACCCGTTTGTTAGGGCTATGCTGAAGCCATCCTCCTGTGAGGCTTTTAGATGAATTATGACTGATGGTCCAGCAGAAGTTTTAAGGGAGATGACAAAAAAGAAACAGGTGCAGCCCAGAGGGATGACATGCTCCTGAGGCAGCCTGGAAGCAGGAGCCAGCACAGACAAGGCAGTGAGGCAGGTTGAAGACACGAAGCGGGCAAAAGGGGCTGTGGGCAGCCCAGAGTGGGATGTCAGGAGACACCTTTATGCTGAGAGGTTTTAAGGTATTATGGTCGGGAGAGCATGAAAATGTGTGGAGGTGGCTGTGGCGTACGGAATCGAGCTAGTGCAGCAGCCCGCCACAGCCTGGAGGTGGCACCGAGGCAAGGCTTGGAGAAAGCACTGAAGGCTGCAGAGAGGCCAAAATATGGCTCTGAGGTGGTTTGTGGGCCCCAGTCAAAGCTGAGATGTCACGAAGGAGGTTTGCACCCCAGGCAGGCAGAGCCTCCCACCTGGCAGACAGCGGGCAGAGCTCCAGGCCTCACATACTCTAGAGACTGAGGAGAGACCTGCTAAGTTTTTGATTCTGCTAAACACCCAACAAATGGTACATCAGGGAGTTAACATGGGAGAAGGGATGTGTTAAGTAGTCACATGTAGTGTCCTGTTAGCTGTTCAGAGCAGCCAGAGGGGATGTGGAGCAGTTATGCAGTCTGAGGATGGGGTCTTGCCTCACAGACATTGTTCATTTACTACTTGTTGGCTTTGCCAGCGTGTTCTGTGTTCCCATCTGTACCTTGTAATTCTTTGCAGTAAAAAAATGATTCAGTGCTGCCTATAAGGGGCTACAGCAAGGTACTGATATTTCTTGGAGCTCATGGTGTGTGACTATGTGGACCTACATGATGGATGACCATGCACCTAAGTGCATGACCTATGTGGAAATGGCCAGGCTCTGAGGAGGCTGGAAAGAAGAATCAGCTGTGGTCTGGGAGCAGCGTTAACTGTGCAAGGGTACAGTTGTGTCTGAAATGATGAGTCTCCTTGAGAGGCAGTCTGAAACCTTTTATTCTGAATATCAGGAATTGTTAACTCTAGATTACTATTTCTATATTGTCAGGATCTTTACAGCATAAAGGCATCTGAGCAGATACCAGCCAAACACCTCCGGATTCCCTCTTTATCTGTAGAAAAGAATAGTAAAAATGGACATCTTTTTATTTTCAGTGATCGCTGGTGCAGCAGACATTCTTCTGTGTTGGGACAGGCATGGAGGAGTGGATGAGATCAGAGGACATTGTTTCTGCTGTGTACATACACAAGGTGGGAAACTAGTTAAAAATAGCCCCAGCTGTATCTCCTGACCAACTTCCACCAGCTTACCATGTTTATCTATAGACTGAAGTGCTATAGGTTAGCCTTAAAACTGGCTGTGGAGTCAGCAGGTGATTCTGATGTTACAGGACTGTTACACAGATAGCCGATGGGCCTGAGAAGGAGGGCGTGCATCAGCCTTCTGTCTATGTTAAACAAATAAGTTTTAATTTTAACTGTGCATCTGCTGAACAGTGCACAACCCCCAACCTGCTCCTCAGAAGCAGCAAGCTGCTGGTCAACATTCATAATCAAGTGATGATGGGGGGGTTTTCTCAGTGTCCAGTGGGGCACAGCTTGAAGCAGGGGACAAGGTTCTTACCTGCTCTTTGCAACCTGGCTGATTTGTTGCATCCCAAAGCAATTGAAACATGAGGGAGCTCAAACAGTTATTTAAAATTGGATGTGCAAAACTACATAAATCAAGCTGCTAAATGTAAAACCAAACATCAATTTGACATGCACTTCAGCCATGCTGAAGGTAGTAGCAGCTGTAGTCACCACTGGGTTCTCATTTCTTCTTGACCCTGTTCATCACCCTATGGAAAGATTCATATTTCATTTTACTGCCATACAAACCAAAATGTTAAGCCGATGGGAATGTGATCATTAAAGCTCGTTGGAAGCTCAATGGATTTTATAAATTGAAATACAATAACAATTTGTAGTCCTGTTTTGGGATGGGATCTGTAGAGCTCCTCTGGAATTCTGATAGCATAGCTATGATCTGAGGTTTTGAGCCAAAATTGGCTTTGGGTCCTTTTTTCCCCCCCTGCTCCAAATAAGCTTGGGAAATAAAAATCAATGTTTGACTTCAGAATGTGGAAAAAAAAAATTATTCTTGAGAATTTCTCTCTGTGAGGGTATGGGAACTGGTCTTTCCCCTTCCCTATTTTTTCCTGTAATTACAGACAAAGTTCTGTATTCAGTGAAGTCAGAATATAACTAGGACTTTGTGTTTAGATGACTGAAGGGCACACAGCTACAATTACCTTGACATAAAGGTCAATGTGATCTAATGTTTCTAATGTGATCTAATGTTTCTAATGTGATCACATGAAGTGCTTGTTTGGTAGTTTCTGTCGCTTGATTAAGAGAAGTTGTCAAGAGCAAAATGTCAGGAGCTTAAGTGACATGAACAAAACAGGGAGAGAACATAGGGGGTTCTGACAGGAGGAAAACACAACTATGACTGTAAGATGGCAGAAACCAGTGGGGAGTGGTAAAATGATAACTTCTATTGGAAGTTTAAGAGGTTAATGACCTGCAGCTATGGATGGATGGAATTTGCATGGATCCAGATCTCAGATGTGATCCAATTGCAGACAAGTTCTAAAGAAAAAAACCCTATAAATCAGTTAAAGGATTCTGGTGAATCGTGCTTTGTGCTCATGGTTTGTGATGTAACCAGCAGTTCTTGATGGAATTACAACTGCCCTGCTCACACTCACCTGCTGTTTGCTCTGTATTAAGTTAACAATAGTAAATAAACTGTGTATTAGATTTCAAGGTGATCTGTTCATGCCAAATGAATTCGTCTTGCCCTAATGCTGTCCTAATTTAAAACATATGTATTGATTTAAGTCCTGTTGCTTCCATACATTAAAGTACTGTTTAGATTTTTGCCTCATCAATATTCTTCACCATTTTGAATGGATGTGTAGCTTGTTGTGGATTTGGTTCAAAAGTGTTCTCTGATAGATTTTGTGTGTGTGTGCGTGTATGTGAAGGAGTAGAAGTGAGGTGGACCATGGTGGCATTGTACAGCACTTAAACCTGTCACCTGCAACCAACAGTAGACACTTTATCTGTTCTTTTACAGGCAAAACCTTCATTAGCATCAAAGGAAGTTTACTTTAATTGCGGGAAAGATGGGGTCCTTGTCTAGTGAAAATACAACTGGTCAGGAGAAATATTGTATGACAGTATATTTCTCATACAGCAGCATAAGCTTCATAGAAAAGTGATGAAAGTTTTCTGATTTTCCCTGACTTCTAAGGGGTGAAAGAATTTTATATATAAAATGGAGTTTCTCCCAAGAAGAAATTAAAAACCCCCCAGAACCTTATGTCAGACTCCAAACAATGTATTTAGACCTCCAAATAAGTAGCCTGGGCTTTTCAAAAGTGCTGAGCTTTGCCAACCCCCACTGCTCTTAGGATACAGCTTCTAAGGCTGAACGTCATTTGACTGCATGTTCTTGCAAAGAAATACTAAGAATATGCAGTAGGTCAAAGTGGTTCCTTATCTTTGTGCAGAGATAAGGGCTGCTGTTCCTCCTAGGAAACAGTGTCTTAGAAGCGGAAGGCTGCACTTCTTATCATTCAAGTATGTGCCATAAAGGGGTAAAAATAGGGACGTCGAGGATAAGAAAGCTGAAACTAAGGCACCTGCTACCCAGAGAAGGAAACTTGGGAATGAAGTAAGACTGAGAGTCTCTTCTGTTTTGAATACTGCAAATCTTCACTTGCAGGAGCAAACAATTTGCCTGTAAAAGCCTCTGAGATTATTGATATGAGAAAAGGCTTCCTGGATTTAGACTCCTGACTTTATCATGCAGACTACATTCCATTTACAGAGTTTTACAGAAGTTGAAAATGTCAGAGTTGGCTGAGAGAATTAGATTTCAATAGCTGTTAAACATTTGCTGGACATCCTAAATCTCCATTGAGAATCCTTTCGTTTGTGACCTAACAGAATTGATTAAACAGAAAGGTTGAAATAAGGTATTCAAACTGTATCACATTGGCAGATAATGTATAGTTCATTCAATCTCACAATATTTTAATCCAGTATTCACTTTGCCATGATATGTAATGCTGGCTATTTACAATAATTGCCATTCTCTAAATGACAATTTTCCTTTAAAACAAGCAGCAAACCCAACAAGCAGCCGCATACCCTGCTCCAAACCTTGTTTGCAAGGATTTTCATTTGCATCGCTGCTGTACAGATTTACACAGAGCAGAAAAAGGGGGTATTCTTATTCTTAGAACTTCTGCTTTTTATGCTACCTGCAGCCACATTCTGCCACTTTCATCCCTTCATAGTTATATATCAAAGTAGGCACACCAGCATCATCCTTATAAAGAATGGAGATTGAATCCAGTTTGGTTGGAACACAACAGGCCTTGGAGGCTTTCTTTGGGTTTTGGAGATGCACCAGAGTTTGGACAATAGCATGTTTTGTTGGGGTAACGTTATCTGTCAGAGGGAAGAAGCAACCTCCTTTACACTCAAAAGCCTCATAATCTTTTGGTGCGATGATCCAGGAATCCCAGCCAATCTCTTCAAAGTTCACATGGAGGGAAGTTCTCCGGCAGTGGTTGGCCCCAACGCTTCTCTTGCTTCTGGAGGAATGCTGGTGCGGCCCAGTGATGGCCTTTTCCTCTCCCTGTTCGTCCTCTTCAGATGAAGTGTTGTGCTTTCCTAGCTTCTTTAGTACACTTTCTTGTTCATGAACAATCATCTCTCGGAGCTCTACTTTGGTCTCTTTTGTCCCATTGCTGCGGTCATTGGAGAACACCATTAACAGGGGCAGATTTTTAGCATCCGGGGCAACACTGATATCCAGCTTCTCACAAGTGAAACCACCCAGAACTTTACTCTCTATAACAACCTCTAGCTTGTTTTTAGTCTTCAGTTTGTCAGCTCTGACCCATCTTTTCACAGCGCTGGACACTTCAAACATCTCCCAACCACACTTCTGGATATTGTGGGAGACAAGGAAAGATTTGGTACTTTCTGGGTTTTCCCAGTGTCCATCATCTAGAACATCATAAATGACCATGGTGCCTTCCAGCCTAGAGAGAGACTCAGCTTCTCTGTGACAGGAGACATAAATTCTCAGTTCAGCTCTGGTGATTTCCTCATATTGTGGAATAGAGATGTTGAAGAACAAAATGTGTTTCTGAAATGGATTTTCTTCTGGTGAATCTAAAGAAACAACATCTGCAATAGGAAATTAAAGCATGTGGTTACAGTGCTTCTGACTGTCCAAGTAACTTGTTTTTAAAAGACTCAGGATGTATTTTGGGGGTAAAATAAGAGCATGGCGACACAGCATTAAAGAAAAATACTATCTTCTGGCCAAGTTTCAAGGGCAGAGTGTGAAAAGGGAAATGGAGGTCCCTGATGTTGGTAGTATTTCACCAAGATTGCATAGCCAGGTGAGTGTGTGGAGCATAAAGAGGCAGCCTAGAACAAACTGTGGATGATGCTGGTCAGTATTAACTACATAAATAAGGCATGTGCACAGTTTTCAGATTTAGCAATTTGCTAAAGATATTCTTACACAAAGAATTCCTCAAAACCCCTATGAATTTCCTACTCTTATTATCATGCAGCTGGATGAACTGCTCTCATATTCATATTTAAGTGTCTTAAAGAACTACCTGTGTTGAGGCTTTTGTTGCTGTCTGTAGGTAACTTTGAAAGCAGCTTGGATTACTGGGCATTTGTGGTAATAGAAAAGTTTTTGGAAATCCTAAATTGAAGCTTCAGGGTCTATCTAAATGGGGACTCGGTGATAAACAGCCTTTCATGCCCAAGTCCCAGTCTGTTCCATACTGAACTTGTATGGGTTTGTTCATATGTTTGTTGTCTGCAAATCTATGCACAGTACCAGCAACTCTGCCTGGGGAGGGGTAGATATTTGTCAGGAAGATCAGACTGGCAATGTTTAGAAGTCATCACTGATGTCTATTTAATGCTCAATGTAAACTAGCTGCTTAATCATGACTGGGTGTTAGAGCAATTTTATTTGGCTATTGCTGCTGCTTCTTCAGAACATTTACCCACAAAAGCAGTCAGAGAGGAGAGTGAGATATGGAAACTATAAAATAGGTCATTCTGTTAAGGTTCCTTTACATTTCAAGACTAGGGTCACTAATTTGGGAATTTGAAGTTCTCTGTAGAGCTGTTACCTGTGTATGTCTATTTTTCATATAAACAGAAACTTCAGTTCTCCTTGTTTCATTTTTATCTCAAGGATTGCATTTGCTTACAACTTTTTTACTGCTTCTTTTGATGGAGCTTTTAAAGGTCTATTTAATGTTACACAGACAGGAATCTTGAACATTTTAAGCTGAGACAAGCATGACTACCCATTTTCATATAAATCTTTCTGTCTAATCCAGAATTTTGGAGGAGCACTGCTGTTCCTTTCTTGGATCCAGAGACACCTTTCTCAATTGGTTGCTGTATTTTTTAAATATGCACAGAGCCCACCTGAAAGAAGAGCTCTCTAGCATTGATGTCTCAATTATAGGTGATCAAAAGTTTGCATTCTAACATAAAAACTCAGTTCCAAATATGTAGGGTTGAGAAACATGATTCATGTAAACTGTTATACAGTCCATCATCTCAGTTGAAGTGTTTGAGAAGAGAATATTGTACAGTGAAAATATCAAAAAAGAAAACTAAAGGTAATTGTATTTTTTAAAGATTGAAAGAAACTACAGAGCAAGCATACAATCCAAAATTTTAATGTTTCATTTCTAAAGAATCTGTGGAAGTCAGGCACTCAGTTTCTTCTGAATTTCAAAAGAGTCTGAGTATCTGCTGTCCATGAACTTTAAAAATTCTAGTCCACATATTTAGGACTTCTCCTACCTTCAGTACTGAAGCTCCTTACAATATTGGATGCAGGGATGGAGGACTTGTCTGCAGCATATCTGTTGTATAAATCAATCATGAACTGTGGTGGTTCTTCTTTAGTCTTCACTTGCGAGGGGACTCTCGACAAATTCAAACTCCTTTGTAAATCCGTCTTCATATTCTCCAGGAAAGATTTAAAGTCAAAATGGGACTCATCTTCTACTTCCCCAGGATCATGAAAGTGTGCATCAGACTTTCCCATAGCTGATAACTTGTCCCAGTCTTCCAAAGGCTTGCCTCTTGTCAAACAAGCAATGATGTTGAAAACNTGCAGCTAAGACTCCAAAACAATGCATTTCTTCTATATTTACTTTCTGGTGGAGAGACAAGAGGACAAGGGTATTTTAGCTGATTAACAGTCTTGTTTCATTACAGAGAGAGGAAAGAAGATGTAAGGCTAACAACTGGAATGCCCTTTGCAAATCACTTTCTTGTGCTCTTTTTGCAGTCTGCTTCAAACCCCAGCCTCTTGTCAGTTGTCAAGCAGATTGGTCGTACACTTGCCCTTATCAGAGTCATTGATGCCATGCTTCAGCTTCTGTTATCTAGCAAGGCTCTTAGTTAATGAAGATTCTGTAAACATCTGACAAACACATGTGGCTGGTGGGAAGGACATTGTATATTGTAAAGAATCCACATTTCACTTTAGGGTCATCTTTGCTTAATTACATTCTTCTATCATTTCCTTGCCAACACAGAGAGAAGCTTTCTTAGGGACGTAGAAGATTACACTTTTTATCAAGACTGGAAAATAGAGATCTAGAACAAAATCACTCTATTAGCTATTAGCAAATAATATCTGAAAAATCTTTTTTACAGACCCTTCATATGCAATCAGAAAATCCCCAGTCCTTTGATGGAGACCTGTGATTCTGCAATACATGATCTCATGACAATACAAACAACCTTAAAACTTGTTTCCGTTTATCAGCCAAGAGCTATTGTTTGTACACAGTGAAATATCTGTTTTGTGTCAAATTTGCTTCATGTTGTTTGCAGGCTTGTCCATTTTCAGTTTGATTCCTTTGGTGTATGGGAATTTAGCCTCGTTTTTATAGTATCTTATGTAATATATTTCATAGATTCATCATATCAATCCAGTCCAAGAACAACCCGTCATTTTTTCCCTGACCTCAAAATGAAGACAGAACTAGGCCTTCTGAGGCCACACGGAAAGTAAGAAGTCTTTCTGAAGATACAGAAGATTATCTATGAAGATACTGTATCCATGAGAAGAAGGGGCCAAGGCAAATTAATTTCTCACGATACAGAAGAAAAAAACAGGTTTATTTAGAGACAAAAATATCACTATTTATCTTAATGAATGTGTTATGAGTTAATCTAATGATACATAATTGCTTTGTCTGTACTATTAATGCATAATTTTTTCTAAGCACAAGTCAATTCACACTGTACACGTGCCATAAAGTCTGAATAGTATTATGAGCTGTTTACATTAAAAAATCTCATTCCAAAGATGCAGTCAATATTTTGCTCTTTCTGGCCATTCTTCTCTAGTTTTCCAGCAGTGCATACACAGCATTTAAATTGATCCCAAACTTCTGAAATGCTCACTTATGTGTCTGTTCAAGTGATAATTGGATCCAAGATCCTGGTTAATTATGTTCTTATGACATAAAGTCAAAATAGATTATTTGGCATTGACCTTGGTGTCCTGCATAGCAAGATTGTTATGTTTTACTCAAGGTCTTTGTGTTTCCACTGCATTCATAGTCCAATTACCTGTGTTTGGCTAAACACAAGTTTTTAAGTGCCTCCGGACTTTACCTGAACATGTCAAAGAATCAAAGATTTCTTCAATTTCGTAGCACTTACTCAAAAAAATAATCACCTACAGTTAAAAAACCCACGGTGCTTCATTTATTATTTCACTGTGCCTGACTTTACCTTCTAGATGGGAATTTTTGTAACTTTCTGGCTAGTTTAAGGAGTTCCATAGTGCTGACATTTTCTCCCTGTTGAAGTGCTTGCACAGTGTAATCAAGTTACTTCTCAGTTTTCTTTCTGATAAAATAAACAGATTGTTCATTTCAGTCACATAGGACATTTTCTCTAACTGTTTTCTTTTTTGTGTCTCTTTCAGAATTTTAATGTCTTTTTGAAAAGGTGAACCCCAGGGCTACACGCGGTTTTCTGGTGTCAGTCCATCAGTGTCACATGCAGAAATCAAATCTTTCCTTATGTGGTTCACTATTCCAGTGTGTATCTTTTCAAAGCTTTCATTAGCTCTCATTACATAGCATCACCTTGAATGCTCATACTGCACCATAAATCCATGATATCCACAAAATTTTTTTAAGAGTTACGGCTTTCAAGGGTGCAGCCTTTTACTCAGTAGGAGCAGCCTCCATGCCTTTTGCAGAGGTACCTGAAGATCTGCATCTGTCTGCTTTAAAATGAACTTTAATTACATAAAGTGCAGCTAGATCAAGCCATCTCACCTCTCTCCTTCTGAAAATGCTGTGGGTGTTGCTATGTACAGACTTCTAGTTCATATATAAAGATGTTACATAATGTCAGGCCAAGTGTCAGCTTTGCAGAAACTTTACAATGAATAGTTTAATTCAGTGGCAATTCCTTTTGAAAGCTGTAATTTGAGGTTTGGAGGGAGAAAGTTGTTAGTTCATGTGATACACAAATATATTAACATTGCCCAATGGTTTCTTTTAATTATGCAGCCTCGTGCAAGTGAATTGAAATACTCCACAAAAACCTAGGTACATTCTAGCTGTTACCTCTGGCAATTAAACTGTGGCCTCAAAGAATGAAACTGGATTTTGGGAAAAAAAGTCCTTAATGCTTTACTGGCTAGTATCAGCTGTTTCCATGTTTTATCTGTCTTTAATCATCCCATATTAGTATGTGCTCAGTTCTTTTAGGATTAATTAGTGGAATTATCTTGACCTGTGTTTGTCAATAGTAACTTCCTCTAGAAACCTAAACATTGAGCAGAATAGTTTATAGGATGTTCATAGAAATAAAAAGATCTGTTGGAACCAAGAGAGTAAGGGTATCAGCGTCCTCTGGCACCAGCTGACTGCACTTGTGCCATTTCAAATGCAAAGTTTCTCTTTCCAGATGAAGACTGGACCTCCAAATACCAAAGGTCCAGAAAGGAGTAGCTTAAACCACTAAACGAATAGCAGTAGGAGGCCTTGTTTGCATTAGAGAATTGAGCAGTACAGCTAAACTCCAAATGAAATAAGCTTTACTAGTAAGAGATGTGTATTCCTTGTGTAGTAAGGGTATTCCTTGAGAAGCACTACCTCTCAAGAGGTGGGAATCTGCACCACCTTAGTATGGAATATTGGCAGCAGAAATTCCATAGCACCTTAGCAGGATAGGAGCCTTTCAGTTATTCACCAGAAGGTAGTGCATGTAGTATCCTTCCCCTAAACAATGCAATTCTTAAAAGGATAAGACTGTGCGTAAGGTTAGACTGTCTCTTGAGCAGGAAACACTCCATATCTTGCACTATGTGCCACCTCACAGACTTCAGAAGTTTGTTCCACTCTTGTGCTGCTTATGCTATTGTACAGCTGGTGGGTGAAAATAAAGTATGTGGCAAGTGTAACCTAGCACACAGGGACACTGAGAAAGAGGACTGATAGACACCATGATGGAACACTAGCTCTTGAAGGAGTGCTGCACTTACAAGGCCTACCATAAATGTATCAACAGGGGATTGTGCAGGAGTTAGAGGCACACAGAGACTTTATTTCTACAAAGATTTCTAAAGGAACCACTGCCAAATGTTTTCCATTTTGATGTTCATTGTTTGAAAAGAAAGTTAATGAAAGTTCTGGAAAGAGTTCAGAAGAGAGCTGTGAGAAATTGTTTTGAGGCTTAGAATAAGAAACCAATCTATTTAAATCTCAGCCAAAATGTAATTTGACCCTACTCACTACACTAAAAATACACAGTGAAAGTATTTTGTATAATAGATAAAAAGGATCTAATATAATAGGTTACAGTAAGATCCATTGAACTGAAGCTAAAGATCATCAAATCCAGTCTAGGATTAAGCCACTACATATGAACAAAGAGCACTAACTTTTGGAACAACTACTTGTAGTCTGGTAGAGATATTCTATCACATGAAATCTTTAAAGCCAAATTTATGCATGTTTTTCAAAGATATTCCCAAGCTCAAACCAGAAGTTCCATAGTGCATGGTGTAGAAACTGCTGAGCAAAGTTCTTTGATCTGTGCTATGCAGGAGGTCAGTCTAGATGATCATAGTATTTTCTTCTGTCTTTAATCTATTGAAGTGCATTATGACAAGCTTAACATGTATTTACATGTTTCCATCTAATTAACAGAATGCAAGAGAGTACATTTATAGAAAGACAAATCAAATATTTTTAAATACTACTGTACCTTTAATTTATTAGCTTTTGTTAAAAGCATGTAACAATCTAGAGGATATAAAGTATAATTTACAAAAATATAAATCTTGGTTATTTTCTTTTTAGTATTTCAACATATTACTATATTGTATGTGTTACTCAGATAATATGTTTAACAACCTGAAATTATCCAGCAAACCAAAAATGTAGGATATTACATGTCTTTTGTAGAACGAATCATATATTAGGGAAGGATAACCAAAAATGGCTATGTTAACATATGGTTTATATAAAAAATTATGAACTATACTTGCATTCTGAAGAAAATATACATTTTAAGCCCTTTATTACAGCATTTTTCAGTATAAATATGCAGAGAGAGAATATGAGTGTTTTAGGCAAAAAGTTTTGATTTTTGTACAAAAGTGATATTCTAAAAGAAGCCTGCCTCTCCAAGTTCACTTCCCATCTTCCTGGTTAACTGAAGAGATAAAACAGTCAGAAAATAGCATATAGAAACATATTTTAGTCCTTTAATTATGGAAAACTTTACACTTAAATTTCTCACTAAACACCAGGTATCTTGGCTAGGTGGGTTAGGAAGATATCTGTAAAAGTACTGAGTTCCTGGAAGATAAATATGAAGGACAAATGATGGCAGTGTGACATATCCTTCCAGGTGAGCACATGTATCATTTTAGTCCCTCTGCACGCTTTCTGTAGAGGAATTGTAGACTTGCATTTGTTCATCAACACAAGTGGATTCATTTCTCATTTACAACTTCCCAGTACAGTCAGGCAGGATGTGTGGGTCTCACTAAAGGTGTGTTTGTATGAACTTTATCGGCAGGCACAAGTTTCAACTGACATGTTGGGATATACCTTTAAAACAACATTTTTGTTCTCATCTAAGAACAGGACACTGAGTGAGCTCATTTTGTCAGGAACGCAGCAGGGTTCTGGGATGCCAGGAATGATTCCTACTGCTTTTACGATGCTCTGAATTGTAGCATGATTTGATGGCCGGACAATCTGGAACAGAGAAGGAAATAGTTATAGCTTCATTTATGAGCAGTGGCTTCCTCAGGTGGACTTGGTAAATTACAACAATTATGGCTTTTTGTTTCTCAATACAGCAAATACACATGATTGATGCAGCACAGTCAGTCCCTCACACTTCCAGCTTTCCTGTGC